CATACAGAATAAAACAGAGTTATAGACGTGGTCGTCTCACTATCTTTAATCTCTGCAAAAGTGTCGATGTCATATTAGGTTAAAATAAGAACAAATCAAAGTTTTTGGTATTTAATTCAAAAGCTTTTCAAAAAATTCCACGATTTTCAATTTTGCAGATTTTTGTATGATAATCGCAACATTTTATCTCCATCTCATAGTTAAAATTTTGTCTCCTAGATTGTCTTTCAAACAATATAAAACTTATCTGCATCTAATATAAGGTTCGTGAGATATGAAGTTTCGAAGTTGCATAACTCACAAGGGAAAATAAGATAACTATCGCAACTTTCACGAAACCGCACGATACCAGTATGATTCCACGAGGCAAATAGCAAAAAAAATGATGAAATTACCCCAATAAAATGCAAAACAGTAAAAAATCTTCAAACAAATTGTCGAATGAGACCTTCTGGCGAAGCTGAAACAAACCGACGCTGTCGCGTTCCCCCGATTTTCTGGACACAAAATGGCGTCCGATATGCTTCATTGCACTCGATGTCTCCACTTGGTTTATAGCCACTTTGGGTCTACCGTACCTTTAGCATCACCGCTATTCACCCGTAACCTCGAAAATTTTGCGATTTTTGAGTAACGTCTTTCAGAATCCGCCGTCACGCCAACGTTCGATGTCACGTGATCGAAAAGAGGAGTGCCTGCATATGCGTCCGCAGAACGTTGAGAGAAATCATAGCAAACAAAAACAAATCTCACAGAGTTAACAGGAATATTTGAAATAAATAAAAGTAATAGCCTTCTGGAGAAAACCACTACAAATTTCACAGCAGTTGGTCCTGTGATCAAAGAGAAAAGCGTTTTTTTAATATTTCCACTAGGTGTCCAAAAAGTGTCAAAGAACAACAACAACAAGACCAACATAATATTGAAACGATCGTTATGTCCACTTCGTGTCCAACAAGCCCCGCTTTTAACAGACAGCTACGAGTTAGTTCAGTGTCACCCGGCTGTGTTGCTATCTTTAGAAGTTCCTATCTTGTGACAGCGTGAATCGAAATTGCAAGATGGTTCGACTCACAATAGTAACACCAAGGATCCGAGTCACTACTGTATTATAACACCAAGTACGGCACTATTCGCCATTCACCATTCCGCAAATCTTAGCAAAGCAAGGATTCCATTACGAACCACCGACGTTCGATGGCACGTGATCAAAAGACATGAATAGGAGTGCCAGCATATGCACCCGCAGAACGTTCGGTGACATCATAGCAAACAAAAACAAATCTCACAGAGTCAAGAGAAATATTTGAAATAAATAAAAGTAATAGCGTTGATTGCTCATAACAACGACGAACTGATTTTTTGAATTTTTATATACAGAAGAGTTGTTAATGTTATTTTTCAAATACTTTCTCCTAAACAATGCAACCCCACTTCTTGAAAATGAAATTCAAAATGACTAGAATAAATGGTGCTTTGCGTTTATTTATTAGACACAGGACCAGGATGTTGTACATTCTGAAAATATTAACATAAACTTAGTCAATACGAGTAGGGTTGTGTGAATTTATGATCATGCTTTTCAAAAAGAGCGAGATTAGATTAAATAACAAATGTTCTCATTATAACTGGCGACCAAATCTTCGAAACAGACAGGCTGAAAGGAATAAACATAATTTTTATTTGTTTTTAGGGAATGATATAAATCTTGTTACTCATTTGGTATGCCGTCGCATCGAACGCCGCCTCTATTCACATACCAATAGCTTAGAATCTCCGGACAACTCAATTCAACAGAATATAATCTAACGTAAGTAAATACAATTAAACTGGTCGTAAATTACAGTAAACTTGTACAATTAAACCCATTCTACACTCAATTTATAACTTTCATTTCAATAATTAGTCCTAACTACAACTTTCAACACAAAACCCAAATCTGCGTGCAAGCCACTTCTCTTTTGGTACTGTGTTGTCTACTTCTCTGGACCACCTCAATCAAAATTGATCAGTAAAATATCGTATTTCACTTATCTTATTCTTGCATAACAATCTTTCTTATCAAATATTCCTGGTGGTAAATTTGCTTTATTCCCTAGCAGCAATAGATTATTTGGTGAAAGTGGTTCTGCTTTTTCATCGAAAGGACTCATACCAATAGGCCTAAGGAGACTTGAATTCAATTGACTTTTAACTCAACGAAATATTGTAGACAATGCTTCATCAGTAACCAATCGTGATAATCCAGTCGAAATTTTTCTTGCTGATCTGATGAGTTTTTCATAAACTCTTTCAATGTATGAAGCTGTAGAAGAATTAAACTTGAATACAATATCACTTTGCAACATTCTCCCATTTTATTGGAATTTCAAATTTGAATTTATGGGAAACTTCATAAACATGAGTACGACTCAATATTGCTGCGTCGATACTTTGGCATCGTCCGTGCAAACAGTAAATAAAGTGTCATCAGATTATAAAACATGTTATTATTCCCGCTAACGCGAAGTCATTAATCATCATTGAGTAGAGGTTCACAATATAATAAATACTCATGGCAGACCAGATAATGTCATCGGACAATGACATCTGTACCAACACCTCTGGTGCAGGGTTAAACTCATACGAAGATCTTGATACGCCAGTGATCACGATTGCGACTCACTTATATCTGTATTGCGTTAGTTGATGTAAGGTGAAATCAGTGCAAGATGCTAGCTGATTTCACAAAAAGAGTTCTTTAATTAGGATAGGATAGGATTTACATATTTATTCTGGGGGAGAGGAAAGCCGATAAGACGGCTTATCCATATGGCGAACCACGGCCTCTCGTCCGGTTACCATTCCAAGTCGGGTATGGGATTATTTATATTGTTTGTTTTCAGAAGCATGGACTTGGTGGTGGAGGAAGCCGTAACCGACCAGCGGTTACGTGAACCACCCAACGACTGCGAGGAGTCCAGCAATCCTCTCGCACATAACTATCCCTGCATGGGATTCGAACCTGCGAACCCACGCAGAGTAATTAGAGGTGCGGTGGCGAGCGTACTCCAAACGCTTAGCCCGTTGAGCCACACCGCCGCGCCATTTATGCAAAATAAATTGCCAAAGAAAACTATACAGTAAATACTAATTTCCTACAATTTCAGATAAATCGTAATTCACCAAGTCGGGTATGGGATTAGTTATATTGTTTGTTTTCAGAAGCATGGACTTGGTGGTGGAGGAAGCCGTAACCAACCAGCGGTTACGTGAACCACCCAACGACGGCGAGAAGTCCAGCAATCCTCTCGCACATAACTATCCCTGCATGGGATTCGAACCTGCAAACCCACGCAGAGTAATTAGAGGTGCGGTGGCGAGCGTATTCCAAACGCTTAGCCCGTTGAGCCACACCGCCGCGCCATTCATGCAAAATAAATTGCTAAAGATCACTATACAGTAAATACTAATTTCCTACAATTTCAGATAAATCGTAATTTTATTTTAAAACAGAAGAAATAAGACGAAAATAAATATTTTGTTTGAATTCCCAAAATACATTTTTTCGAATTAGTATCGATTTCGATGTCATATAATTTTATAACATTTCAAAATATACTAACTAAAAATATTGTAATATATTTGATCACGTATAGAATTTATTGCAGGGTCTCACTTCCACTGTATAAAAAATACCGGTATAAAAAATGGAGTTTTTGAAAATATGACAAAAATTTATACATTTCAATCAACTCTTTCAAAATCTGATTTTGCTTTAAAAGTGTTCATATGGCGAGACAAGTTTACATGGCCAATTACGTGGGATCTCGTTCAATTAAAAAATATTTTTCGAAAACGATTTCACGATAAAATTTTTATATAGTTAATAATCAATAAAGCAACGCCACATCTAGTTTGCAGTTTGATTTGAATTTATATCATAAGTATACAAAGTGTCAATAGCATTAGGTAGCGAGTAAAAGATTCCCGGTCTGGGTTAGTGTCGCAGAACTTAGTTAAATAAATCTAGATGAGAGCGGTTCAATACGTTCTAAGCAAATAGCAACACAAACGAAACACACCTAACAGACTTTTAGTTGGTATAATAGGGTTTTCATAACGATAATTGTGCATTTATTATGAACTTGTTCAAAATTCAACGTACGTTGCCCTAACAGATTTTGTTCTTAGCGCTTAACGCGTTTATACGCTGGAGCAAAATTGAGTAATTTTGCAAGATTCGCTTTGCTATATTTTGCAAGCTGCAGTTCCGCAGTTTTTATTTCTTCAAAGACGACATCCCATTATAACCTAATTACTATTTATGAGTTGGAGAAATCTATAGCCAGAAGGTATTTGAGGTATTAAATTAACTTCAAATGTAACAAGACTCGTACGCAGACGCGTCTGGAAATTTCAACAACTGTTTGTCAAGAGTGAAACGTTTTATTACAGGTTCCTGCTTTAACTGTAGTAAGTAATATGTGTATAGTTAGATTTGGATATGGTGGAACATTCTCATTTTTGGACGACGATAGACAATGATACACAAATGGTAAAAGCTATTTATACGAGATACGAAAGATTATACAGCCTGAATACATATCCCATATATATTCTGTTATTCTCTTATACATGTAGGCTTAGAATAGTAAAATAGAAATTTTCTGTTTGTAAATACAAGAAATGATAATATTTTTAATGCTTCAAAACGTTGGTATTCATTAGTGTTTAGAAATATTTGCATTATTGTACGCGTAAAACTATTGGATGTGTAGTAATGATATAATTGCTCAGCACGTAGCGAAAAATTGAAAGTGTGTGATAAAATTGTGAAGACATTTCTGCCTCATTTACAAAATACACGCATACAGAATTACAAATAATCCCACACACAATCTTGTCAAGCAACGTCTGCTTCTCGCAATTTTCATTTTGTAGAGTCGTTTTAAAATATTTTAATACCTACTGACTAAATTATGTTACTTATTTTATATGACATGCAGCATAGTATTTTTAACAATAAATATTAAATATCAAATCCTAAAGTATATGTCGACCATATGGCTTTATCAAAACAACTTATATCGACTATATTCGTTGCGACGGCAATCACAGTTATCTTCATCGTGGTTTTCAATAGCAGCTTGCGAGATCAGTCCTTCATATGGATAAAAACTGTAAGTATATAAGTTGCATATTGGAGTCGAATAATTTCTAACTTTGACAAACCTGACTGGACAAAAACACTAAGAGGAGTGAAACTGAAATTGAAACATACAGTACTGTGTATGGAATTCAGGGTTAAAATTGTCACCAATAATATATTTGTGATTAATTTTAAATTTAATAATAGTAGATACATTGTTGTGAGCCAGTTATCGACACATGACCCACAAAGTGCCCACTTGGTCAGGTAAGGCAATAATATTTGCAATTCCATTACAACTAAATGAGACATTTCAAAAAGTAATCTCGGAGCGAATATTCAATATGCTTAGCTACAATATTTAAAATTACGCGAATACATTGTTCCGAACATTTTACGATATTTTTATAGCTTCCAAGTCAACTTCAAAGTTACGAACGCTATATCAACAAAATCGGAGTAGGAATGGAGAATGATAGCGGGAATTGCTACAAAGTAAATAAATTGGACAGTTACCGAATCTGTGACAAATTACCGTTTAGTAGCACAACTTGCGGTTCGAACGTAAATTCAGGTATGCATGGTTTCTTTTTTTATGCGTGAGTGGTGGAAATGTGGTCTGTGAGGGCAAATACCGCCAACTAAAATACATATACAGCCAACCAAATATACTTATACTACCGAATCATATGCATATATAGCCAACTCAATATACAAATACAGCCATGTGATGTGAAAATACCGCTTGATGATTTCGTAAGACTACAATTTATGTATATGCGGTTGCATCTACAAATTATATGCACATTACCGACCGCTCATATAATTAGCGCATTAAAAAGCGCAAAACTTCAAAGCGGCTAATGATCGATAAGGTATTAGCATACAGGGGTAGGGCTTTACATACAAACATATTGATTGCAACAAAAAAACTACCAGTGTTAATATCATAATACCTCACAACAGCGGGTTGTTATTTACACAAAAATGTACTGGCTGAAAATCATTTTCAGTGAACTATTCTTTGGCTAATGGCAATAAACTGTCCACAAACAAATCAAATCAACGCTTGGAGGAAAATATAAAACATAAAACTACCAATGCGCGTAGTTCTTCAGAAATATCCAATAGGCGCCCAATTATTGATGTCATAATACCCCACAACAGCTGATCGTTGAAAACACGATAAAGGTGTTGACTAAAAATTTCTTTTCAGAAAACTATTCTTTGGCCATCGGCAATAAACTGTCCACAAAATAATCAAATTAACGCATGGTGGGAAATATAAAACATAAAACTGCCAGTGCGCGTAGTTCTTGAAAAATATCCACTAGGCGCCAAATCTATGATTGAGATGACTTCACAATATGTTTTTTTAATTATCTTATCTAAAAGTGGGGAACGTAATCGAAAGATACAAAATTTTTGGTTGAAATAATGATATTCAGTAATATCGATGTAAAATTCATGATTGGGCCATGTTTGGCAAGATATTATTATATGTTCCCGACATACAATTTTACTGAGAACTGGTTAGAGATGACTTCACAATATATATATTTTACAAAAATATCTTATCTAAAAGTGGGGCACGAAATCGAAAAGTACAGAAATTCCGGTTGAAATACCAATATTTATCAATTTTGATGTAAAATTTATGTTTGACAGGATATTATTATATGTTCCCCAAATACAATTTTTATGAAACTTGGTGGATTACTTCACAGTATTTTTGGGGGGATATCTCACTTAAAAGGGAGGCACGTAATCAAAAAGTACAGAATTTGAGGATGTAATATCATTATTCATTATTTTGATGTGAAATTCCTGTTCGGCCATGTTTGACATGATCTTATTATAAGTACCCAACATACTAATTTCATAAAACTTGGATTAGGATGATTTCATTATATGTTCTTTTTTATATCATCTTCAACAATGTGCCAGGATATCGGAACTTACAGAAAAGTTTTGTGTAGTACCGAGTGTAGCAAAATTCGGTATAATCTGGAGTTTTTGAGAGTCATTTTTAACACACTCATTTTATCAATAGAACTTCCAAGCTTCGACTTGTAGTTGTAACCGAATCGGTACATAATATACAGTAAGTGCATGGATATGAAATAAATTGGCGGTGTTTGTACATCACTTAATTAGCCGTTTATATATGTATATCGAGTTGATTATAAGTACAGTACATATGATATTCGTTGTATGTGTACATTACATAAATGGCTTCATATATAACTTAAATTTGTTGTATATGCAGATGACATTGTATGACATCGCTCAAATGCTTTCAAGTTGAATATACGTACATATGACATTGGCTGATTGTTTACATTACTTGAGTGACTGTATAAGTATATTGCATGGCCCATATGGGCATATTGCATTGGCTATGTATAAACATTACTCGATTGGCCGCACATGTATATTAATTTGGCTGTATATGCATATGATATTGACTTTTGCATGTGCATCACTTTCACGCACTGTTTTTATGTGTCTATTGAGTAATCTACTTGGCTGTATATACATATGACATTGGCTGTATATGGATAGTATATTTTTAGCTATATATGTATATCACATTACTAACCCCACTCTAAAGTCTAGAAGTTTTTAACATGTTATTACCACCATATACACTTCGACATTTCCAAAAATAAATAAACAGAGGAGTACGGTTTCAACATTAGTCAAACCATCGCACGAACTAGAGGTTTTTGATTCTATCCCTTGTGAAATGTCTTTGAAAATTTCAATTTTTCTTTGCCCCTATTTGCAATATTTACAGATAGAGAACCTATCTTTAATTACATAACAATACCCTTCACGAAACTTGAATCAATATGTAACGTGTTCTTAGCTTAATTGATACGTATTTTTATCTATTTATTGAAATATTAGTCACAATACCATGCTTTTACATTTATTTCATCATCATACAATATATTTTAGATAAGAACGACGATTATATGGTTCCGAATATCGTACATTTCGTATGGATAGGGAATTTAACTCTGCATTTTTATGCTTATCTTACGATACGATCAGCTGCTGCAAATCAGGTTAAGATTTTATCCGATTTTTTGTTTGTGTTTCAAGAATTCGTGCTGTTGGGCGTAGAATAATTAGACCTTGCTTGCGATATATTAGTACAAATCTCTATAAAAATGTATAATTTGCCGAACCATACCTATTTTTAGCTCGCTGCTCATTCACATAAGTCTTGAACGAGCAGCCCCACAAAAAGCGCAATCCCCGATTTAACAACCGAGTTTATTATATTACTCAGAAGGATAACACCGGGATTCCCAAATTTAGAAAGAGCCATCAAAATACAATTCCATGGTTGAATAAGAATAACTCAGCTGTAATTGCATTCGACACAACAAAATTGCGACCGAGGAATGTTAATCGATAACTTATTTTTCATACGCGCCAGAAAGAATACAGCATTTTGCTTTGAAATATTTAGAAGATCAAGCTTGCTGTTGTCGCTAGAAGGCTACGACTTTTATTTTTTCAAAGATATTTGTTAGCTATATGAGATTCGTTTTTCACTTCAAATTTCTGTGTGATGACGTCATCAAAATAAAAATTGTAAAACGCAACGTGATCACATCTCAGTGATCTGACGGTCAGACCATCGATACCTTTCACACAAATATGTCATCCAAGTCATACCATCGGTACTGTACAAATTATGATGGTACTCCGTTTTTGCCGCCGTGTTGATATATTTGAGCATTGTTCTTTTATTTTAGAAACCTGACATTATATTGTTTCATTACACCCATGTCGAACCACAGGGTGATTTATGGATCAGGGCAAAACAAGAGATACCTTGCTTAGTTCCTGTCAAATTTGAGGAACCAGCATCATGGCAGGGAAATGAATTGGATACCGTGGTGCATAAAACCGACATAGCACGGTGAGAAGTACCATGTATGGCAATAAAAATATAACATATATTATTGCTTGTTTCAATATAATCTCGATTGATATGAGTGAATAATTGTAGAAAAAATAATTAAACTACTTTAGTAAATCTTGAGTGATCGCCCTGCTTGAACTTGAAGATAAAACACCTAGTAGTGGTTTTCCTAAAAATAATAAATTCGTCCAAGTATTTGTTTTTATGAAATTAGACAGACATCCTCCTTTGCTGACTTATTATCCAAACCTTTGATGGATAAGGAATGCCATTTTGGGTAGAAGGTAGAAAATTTTATAATGTTGTTATTGTTCTTATCCCTGCTGTTGTCCAAAAAACGATTCCTATCGCTGCTGCTGTGCCAATCACTTAAATTTCCAGTGTTTGTGAGAGAAGAGTCATTCATATATTCATATTTTCAGATAATTTCATTTGGATGAGCTTATGCCCTTTCTTACCCTGACGGAGGTATAAGTTACTGGAACTTCTTCTTCATATATTTGTTCATTGGGATGTTGTATTCAGCAAGCTGCTATTCCTTTTAGATTTGATATTCTGTTGAAGCACGGTGGGATATATCTAGATACAGATGCTTTTATCCTTCGTTCAATGGATCCCTTGAGAAAATTTCCCTTCACCATGGGAAGATCAGTAGAAGATGCTTTTAGTAAGTTCTTCTACTGCACATTACTAATATATAATGAACTGGTTATAATATTTTTGAAATCGTTTCGCCAATGAAAATACAATGAATCTTTCAATCAATTGTTCTGGACCAGATAAGATACAGAACATAGCATTAATTCATGTTCAGCTTTTCAAAACTTTGTGTAGTAAAATGAAGTGAAAATACCATTAAGTACACTTTCTGGGTGATTTTATTGCAAACATTAAAACATGCGTCCAAAATACTTATTTTCTGTAAAAATCTGAAACTCCATCGCCTTTCGTTTGCAAACGGCTGATAGAATATTGATGAGCATTGGACATGTAATCTTTAACATCCATATTTTAATATTCTTGTTTTGAGATTATTTTAATTTCTTTCCTGTTCAGGCAGTGGGGTTATATTGTCTGAGCCAAATTCGACGTTTCTACAAACATGGTCAAATTTATTCAAGTACTACACAGAGGTGAGATATAAAATGATGATGTTTCAGTATCAGATATCATTTTATTGTTGTACTGCACTCAAATAATCTAAGTCGAAAGAAATACCCAAAATAGCTCCACGAAACCTAAAATATTTCCACTTTTCAGAGTGACTTTTTCACCAAAGTTTCACTCCGTATCCACCTTTTGAAGCCCGAACTACCAATACACGTTGAGGAAATATCAATGCAACGACCGAATCCTTGGTGTGATGGTATTGAATCCATAATTACAGAATCGTTTGACATATCAGAGAACTACATTCTTCATCTACATCCGTCAAATATGGGAAACAACTGTATACAACATTATGTGAGGACGACATTCGCTTGCATGACACAACCTACGGCGCCGGTGCTAGGGCTGCGCTATTCGGCACACAAGACTTGATATTTTTTAAATCTGAAGTGGCATTGGCTCACAACAGAATTACTCAAAAGCCTCTAGAACTTTTCGAATCGATGAAAAAGCGTCGTAAGCCTGAAATGTTACCTGGTCTCTGACTGGCCTGGAGTGCAGAATAGTATTACGTCGTCAGGTGTTAGATCGTATTTGAGCAAAATATTCTGCTGAAGAGGATAAAAATAACCTTTAGGTGTAGTTATTTTCATTTCACTAAAATAGTAATAATTATGAACAATTTATGTAGGCGCTATAAGTATAATATATCACTGTCACGTCCATTCCACGTATTCTTCTAAGTGTAGTCAACGCTAAAATACAAAGTAAAAATAGTCATCAAGAGCTCTCTTCATAAACACTGCTTTCACATAGTAATAAAATCTTGAACTGAGATTAAATTTCCGAAATTATCATATATATATATCAATTATATATTAATTCATTTGATATTTCTATATTCAATCAACCTATAGTTCAAACATTATTCGGACCTCCAAAAGTATGCGCACCAAGATGGCGCATAACCTGAACATAGTATGGGTGGACCGGTTAGGATTCAGGTTTGTGCGACATCTTGGTGCGCATACTTGTATGCTTCTATGTATGAACGCTTTCTATGCCCAGTTTCATTTTGAATGCTGTATCGTTCTATAATTCATACAAAAATATAGTTTTATTAGAGAATAAAATAATTAAACAAAACAGATTCTTAATGAAGGGAAATATGAAATTTTCGTAGGTCAGTTCTTACTTTGGTGAAATTACATTGGTAATACTGACGTAGTCCTACGTAGAATTGAACACTGATTTGGTTTAAATTTAAGAATAACAAAAAAGAGGTAGACACCATTAAAATCATAAATGTATCTGCATTAATTGATGAACACATCGTATTGATTCTTAATAACAAAAAAGACTTTCGAAGTAAATGTAACATATTCCAACAGAAACAAAGTATTCCGAATTTACAATGTCAGAACGGTTCATATACCACACCAATCAAATTTTCATGAGCATCCATGATTTTGAAGTTTTGTTCGCAAGAATATTTTGTAATAATATATATATTCTATGATGCACGAAAAGGCTATTGATTTTTAAATATACTTGCCATACCAAACGCATTACTTCAATATTCTGCATTTGATATAATATACAAGTTCTTTTCCTGTCGGTGGAATCGAAGTTATATTGTGATTATAAGGATATAGTATCTGTTGATCATAGTTATGGAACGAAACAAGGGCCTTGATTTTTGATTTTTCTCTTCGAATAAAATTTGCCAGATGATGATTTATATTGTAGCATTCGAAACTTTGAAAACCTTAAACTGCAGAAATAGTCAAGCACTCAGTCATCATCATATGGTATTATTTTGAACACCTTAGGCATCAGAATTTGTTTCCGATTTTAATGAATATCAAAAGATTGCCATCACACCATAGTAAGTAAATGCAAGACTGTTAGGAAGTATTCCCAATCTTTCAGATTGCATAATTCATCATAACCAAAAATTTATTAGGTCAATGTCGATTATCAATACTAATGATTAAAATACTACCTTATATCTGGATGCAAATATAAGTCATTCATAAGTTTAATATCGTATGTTGTACTATGGCCTTTATTCTTCATACTTGATTTCTAAACATAAACTTATTTCTGATTAGCCAGGAGTTTGAAGAAGTTGAGGGTCCGGAATTTCGGAAATATTGACTTCTTCGATACATTTTTCGCTTTCACATGACTCAAATTTCAAAAAGGGCTCATTGACTTATATTCGTTAATAGATTTTTCAACCATAATAGGAAAATTCAGATAAAAAATATAAATTGATAAAAGCAAAGAATGTTATAAATGGTGACCGTACATTTGAACCCATGTGTATATTCGCGGGATCAATTCAAGCTATATGCGGGTGCTAAACCCCATGGGTTAGAGTTAGTATGGGTTCAAATATCGGTAAAACAAAAAAATCCATAGGTGCAATAGTATGCAGGTGCAATTGTCATGGGTTCAAATGTAATGGGACCATTATAAATATCGATATGGACCGACTTCTATTTTTAAAGTTAAGCCACCTTGTTGTAGTCATTTTTAACCAAATTCAGATAAGAATAATTTCCTAAAGAATGAGTCCACCTATGAACGTACATTTCAACCTATTCATTCATTAAGTTCAAACTTCCCTAACCTATTTCAATGTCTATGAATGTAAACACAGTATAATTACGTACATACCGGTGTATAATTGTGAATTACCATTCATGTAAGTTGTAAACGGCTAACTTACTATACCCCTTGTATATATCATGAAAACAGATCCGGTTACGAATTGCAGTAAAACAAATTTTGTTGACAAGTTTATATCGAATATATTTGACTCTATACACATTAATCTCCTAGTAGTGTCCTAGATTTGGATCAAACACCTAAATATATAAACCTACGTTGTTGTTGTTATAAATGAATTAATAAAGAGCAAAATTCTAAAATAACTCTGAAAACTGACTGCCAATACAAGTAACCTTACATGTTTTTCATTAAACATAATTTCGCTGTATCATATGAACACATCACGTACATTGAAGTTAAAAAAATGATATCGACCATTTTTAAGAGCGATTTTCCGATATTACACTACAATTCAACCTTCTACTACATTGAAAAATTATATATAAATGAATCTACAATTTCACGCTGTAAATGTGATTGTCCCTCCAAAACAAATTTAATAATCATATTGCTTTTTATAAACAATATTATTGATAATTATTATAAGCCTGAAAATAGGAACAGCGCGTTATTGGAAATAATAGAATTTTGTTCGTGTTACTTTATACTTAGCGCAAGTCGCAAAGAATTCATACTAATAGTTGTAAGAGGTCTTGAATTCAACTTACTTTCAACTTCACGGACTATTGTAGACAATGCTTCATCGATAACTTATCGATTATGTAATAATGGAGTCAAAATTTTTTTTGTTGATCTGACGAGTTTTTCTTGAATCCTTGAATGAGTGAACCTGTGGAAGAATTGAACTTGAATACAATATCACTTCGTCTGCAGAATTCTCCCATTTTATTGGAATTGCATATTTGCATTTACCGTGGAACCCCTTCACGGCGCCATAATGATGCGTCGATACGTTGGCATCGACCGTGTAACAACTGAAGCGTCATCAAATTATAAAACATGTTGACACAAATTCACGAATTACCACGGAGTAGAGATATGAAAGAGACGGTGGCAAACACATTTTGTGATTGTGAAGATTTTATGTGTAATACTAAGTAATTTAGATATAGCAATACCTAGTCTTAATGCCACTAAGTTTTTTTTTTATAAAATTAAACTAACTCTGAGGTGATTAGTCTATGGCGTTGCACGTACGTTACGTTACAAAATCAATTATAAAGTTTTTCTTATCTTTAAAAAATACCAGTTCAAATACGATATACTTATAATGTTATTTTATCAGGAATATGAGATATTAATTCGTTAGTTGGATTTAGTGTGATTTTAAATGAATAGTAAAGCCTCAGTGCTCATAATTAGGATAAAAAATATGCTTGGAATTTTTCTTGCACATTAATCAATTATACCAGATAGATAACCAGATCAGAACACCATAAGAAAGTCGATTACTTCTTTGCGACCACTTGAACAGAAATTCATGATCCGTTATTTACCCCCAATTACTTTCGAATCTTGTATACTGAAAAATACGGGGAATTTATGTACGTTTATTAGAATATTTCGTGATATTACAGTATAAATCACAAATTTATATTCACCCAAAACGCGTAGGAGAAAAATAGATAAAAAAATGAGCCAATTCGTTGTATAGGGAAAAAGTAAACACTAACAAAAATTGAATACCCAAATACTAGAAATAGGAATTTAATTATTTTTACCTTAAAGATGCAGTTTTTTGTTATATATATATTTATACGGATAGATAGTATTAATATTATGCAAACAAGACATCACGTGACAATATTTAGCTCACTGAACATATATTAAACTTTACTTCAAATGTAACAACACACGTACGCAAACGCGATTACTCAAACACGTCTGGAAATTTTAACAATCTGTTTGTCGAATGTGAAACGTTTTATCTCAGGTACAGGTTTTATTACATGGTTGGATTTTGATATGTTTAATATTTTTATCTTTGTAGGACGATAGACATGGATACACAGATGGTACAACCAGTGCTGAGATTCAAGTTTTTTATCTGCCGGTTCCATCACAAAAGTCATATTTTTCAGCCGGTTCTGTTACAAACAGAACCTTGACCGTAACCAGTAAAGCTGAACGGTTCGCTGATCTCATAAAATTTCGTGAGACGGTTCTATAGGACCGATACGAACCGGCTGAATCCACACCACTGGGTACAGCCTATTTATACGAGATATAAACGATTATACAGCGTCAAAACGTATCATATATTGTAATGTTCTCTGATACAGGTAGGCTTAGAATAGTGAAATAGAAATTTTCTGTTTGTCAATATAAGAAATGACAATTTTTTTAATGCTTCAAAACGTGGGTACACATAGGGCGATATTTTCATTTTTGCTTAGAATTGTTTGCATTATTGTTTGCTTGAAACTATTGGATGTGTAGTACTAATATACCGGAATTGCTCAGCTTATAGCAAAAAATTGAAAGTGCGTGATAAAATTGTAAACGCATTTACGCTTCATTTGGAAAATACACCCATACAGATTACACACAATCATGTCAAGCAATGTTTGCTTCTCGCAATTTTCATTTTGTTAAATAGTTTTGAAGTATTTCAATACATACTGACTAAATTATGTTACTTTTGTATAACATGCAGCATAGGATTTTTAACAATATATATTGAAATATCAAATCCTATAGTATATGTCGACCATATGGCCTTGTCAAAACAACTTATATCGACTATATTTGTTGCGACGGCAATCACAGTTATCTTTATCGTGGTTTCCAATAGCAACTTGCGAGATCAGTCCTTCATATGGATAAAAACTGTGAGTATATACGTTGCATATTGGAGTCGAATAATTTCTAATTTTGACAAACCTGACTTGTCAAAATCACAAATCACTAAGAGGAGTGAAACTGAAATTGAAACATACAGTACTGTGTATGGAATTCCGGGTTAAAATTGTCAAGAATAATATATTTGTAATCAATTTAATTTTAATAATAACTGGTACATAGCTGTTAGCCTAACATCGAGACATGACCCACAATGTGCGAATTTGGTCAGATAATGCAATAGTATTTGCAATTCCATTACAACTAAACAAGACATTTCAAAAACTAATTTCGGAGCGAATATTCGATATGCTTGGCTACATTATTCAAAATTACGCGAATACATTGTTCCGAACATTTTACGATATTTTTATAGCTTCCAAGTCAACTTCAAAGGTATGAACGCTATATCAACAGAATTGGATTCGGAATGGAGAATGATAGCGGGAATTGCTACAAAATAAATAAATTGGACAGTTACCGAATCTGTGACAAATTACCGTTTAGTAGCACAACTTGCGGTTCGAACGTAAATACAGGTATGCATGGTTTTTCTTTTATGCGTGAGTAAGGGGGAAATGCGGGCTGTAAAGGCAAATATTTCATGTGCTCTTTATAAAAAAAAAATTAAAACATACAGACGTAACCGGTCAAAACATTCAGGCGTAAGGTCTCAAAGTTTTTAACATGTTTTTATCACCATACACTTCGGTTATTTTCAAAACCAAATGAACAGAGGAGTACGGCCCAGAACATTGGTCAGTCCACCGGACAAACTAGAGGTTTTTGATTATATCCCTTGTGAAATGTCTTTGAAAATTTCTATATTTTTTGCCCCCATTTGCGATATTTACAGATTGAAAACCTACCTTTAATTAATTTAATTAATTATGTAACATGCTCTTAGCTTAATTGATACGTATTTTTATCTATATATTGAAATATTAATCACAATACCATGCTTTTACATTTATTTCATCATCATACAATAATATTTTAGATAAGAACGAAGAACATATGGTTCCGAATATCGTACATTTTGTCTGGATAGGGAATCTGACTCTACATTTTTATGCTTATCTTACGATACGATCAGCTGCTGCAAATCAGGTAAAGATTTTATCCGATTTTTTGTTTTATGTTTTAAGATTTTATGCTGTTGGGCGTAGAATAATTAGGGCTTGCCTGGGATATATCAGTTGGAATCTCTATAAAAATGTATAATTTTCCTAACCATAATCATTTGTAGCTCGCTGCTTCTAGGTGCTCATTCACATAAGCCTTGAACGAGCAGCCCCACAAAAAGCTCAATTGCCGATTTGACAACCTAGTTTCTTATCGTCACGCTAATAACCGAATTGCGTAAGTCATTTTTGGCGATTTTGAGTTTTTTATAAAATAGGTATTTATGTAATGCTGCGCACCTGTCTGTTAACTCAGATTTTATTTTAGGAATTCCGAAACCCATAAAAATGGAGATTTAGTATGACATGCACATTTGTGCAATTGTTTCGTCATAATGAATTATCCTTGTTACCGCAGTACTATTGTGACGTCACAAAGGCAAAATAACCTCGGCGAAGTATTTTTGAGTTTTTGCATCTCGGATTCTAGCTTAGCGCGTATTAATTTGAATTTTTACTACAGTATAGGAAGGCGTACACTTGTGATATTCACTGTCCGAGTCAAATTTACCTTGGTTGGCTTTTATATTGGGTGCATTGCTTTTTTATTATTTATATTTAATCTTAGTCCTATCTCGGTGGGTGTGCAGAACGTGTTATATTGATGAAATATAAATTTTTAAACATAAAAAATGATTTAATTAAAACTGATTAGCTATTTGGGGATTAGACATTGTAGATACTGAGAATTACATTCGTTTTTGGAATGTTTAGTTTTCAGGATTGGTGCATATAGTGAAGTTGCAAATTGCGTATGTCACCAAGTCATAGACAAATTTCTGCCTTAAGTCACATTGCGTCATTATGACGTCACTTAACTGCGTCATACAAATTAACTTAAATCCGGCTACGATCAAAAAATTGAACCATGGCAAATTATTGACTCTCAATTGCATAACAAAATCATTAGGAAGTTTTTTACGTTTTTCTCAAAACTGCTAAAAATGACTTACGCAATTCGGTTATTAGCGTGACGTTATATTACTCAGAAGGAAAACACCGGGATTTTAAACTTTAGGTAAAGCTATTAAAATACAATTCCATGCTTGAGCAAGAATAACTCAGCTGTAATTGCATTCAACACAACAAAATTGCGACCGAGGAATATCTCATATTTCTGATAAAATAACATCAAAATAAAAATTGCGCAACGCTCCGTGATCACATCTCAGTGATCTGGTGGTCAAACCATCGATACCTTTCATACACTTGTCAATCAAGTCCACCGGTACTGTACAAAATTTGATGGTACTTCATTTTAGCCGTCGTGTCGATATATTTGAGCATTGTTCTTTTATTTTAGAAACCTGACGTTATATTGTTTCATTACACCCATGTCGAACCACAGGGTGATTTATGGATCAGGGCAAAACAAGAGATACCTTGCTTAATTCCTGTCAAATTTGAGGAACCAACATCATGGCAGGGAAATGAATTGGATACCGTGGTGCATAAAACCGACATAGCACGGTGAGAAGTACCATGTATAGCAATAAAAATACAACATATATTATGCTTGTTCCAAAATAATCTTGATTGATATGAGTAAAAATTGTAGAAAAAAACATTAAACCAATTTAATAAATCTTAAGTGATCGCCCTGCACTTGAGGATAAAACACATAGTAATGATCTCCTTAAAATAATAAATTCGCCAAAGTATTTTTTTTATGAAATTAGACAGACATCCTCCTTTGCTGACCTATGATCCAAAACTTTGATGGATAAGAAATGTCATTTTGGGTAGAAGGTAAAAAATTTTATAATGTTGTTATTGTTCTTATCCCTGCTGTTGTCCAAAAAAATCGATTTCTATCGCTGCTGCTGTGCCAATCAATTAAATTTTCAGTAGTTTGTGAGAGACAAGTCCGTTATGTTCATATTTTCACATAATTTCATTCGGGTGAGCTTAGCTATTTCCTACCGACGAAGTTATAGGTTAATGGAACTCTTTCTTCATACATTTGTTCATTAGGATCTTGTATTCATCAAGCTGCTCTTCCTTTTAGATTTGATATCCTGCTGCAGCACGGTGGTATATATCTAGATACAGATGCTTTTATTCTTCGTTCAATGGATCCCTTGAGAAAATTTCCCTTCACCATGGGAAGATCAGTACAAGATGCTTTTAGTGAGTTCTTTTACTTCACACTACTAATATAAAATGAACTGGTTTTAGCATTTTTGGGGATCGTTTTTGGACACGAAATGGACATAAAGATCGTTTCAATATTATGTTGGATCTGTTGTTGTTGTTGTTCTTTGACACTTTTTGGACATCTAGTGAAAAATCTAAAATACCGCTTTTCTCTTCGATCACTGGACCAATGGACCTTTCCCCGACCTTTGACCTTTATTGTTATGATTTTGGTCGCTCAGACAAACATTGCAAATATTCAGGCTTGTGTAGGGCGATATAGTAGTAGCCTACGTTGATCATTTTAAAGGCTTTCGAATGGCATTTCACTGGTGATGGCGGTATTTTCGTGCTTCTAAAGTTATAACATATTGTCAAGTGATCTATTATAAACGTTATTCCGCCTTCACCGTACCTAACTTAGTTCTAAAAGCTTACCGGTATTTAACATACAAAAATGGAATCACTCAGAGATGACTTTTCTACGACATGGTTCTCCAAGAACTTTTTTTATCCCCCAGCAGGAGAAGGATACAAAACTTTTCATTGAAAGGTGATATTTAAATTTATATGGTTGAAGAATGTCAGAGGGTGGTGATATGACTGGGAGACCAGCGTGATTACCGGTAGCGGTACCCTATCCCATAGTTCATAGACTGATAAATAGCGTCCAAGTTAGGATTGAATTGGGGGGTTTAGTATAGAAACAAATGAAATGCAGGGGCAATTTGGAAAGTCTTTTAGACACATTCTTGGAAACATTGCACAAACTACAGAAATCTGTAATTCTGAACAGGTGAATATTTTTTTCAGATACATTCATGATGGTTCAGTCAGTCGTCAATCCTGGTTCAACGCTAGATTTCAAAGCCAAGTGCTATAGATAAGTTTAGGAGTCTCTGCCACCAGATCATCTTAAAATAGTGGTGCCGCTGGATAGTCACCAAGTCTTTGATGCAATTTGTACATGCTAGGCACAGTGAGGGAACTTAAGTTTATGTCGTATCATAGAAACACAGATTTATTTGCTCAGTAAGATGGGTGCAAATATACTATTGAAAGATTAGATTCAACAGGTTTATTGAGGTATTATGATCGATTACATACCACATAAAATTACAAGACCAATAATGTTATAGTGATAAACATGGTTTAAATAGACTAACCAACAGATGAAATTGTGAAGATTAAAAGATTTCCCACTGAGCCAAGCATGTACAAGCCTTCCCCAGCATTGGTAACAACCTATATGGAGGGAACAATATATATCCAACAGTTTTGACGTCTGTAGTTGGTGCTAATACACAAAGTTAGATTGAGCCAGAGTTCCAATCATACCGGTTCAACCAAAAATAGTCGGTTATCTGATAGGTTTTACAATATAGTTTATTCATTCAGTGTAGAAATAGAATATAACAGATTATAAAAAATATATGATGAAGGAACAAGCAAGTAAATCCAAAAAAAATACTACAAATTATACAGTTTTGCAGATATTGTGTTGTATAGGATAAACATACACACCAGATATATGCTTTGGGGCACAACAAACAAAAAACATGAAAGCAATGGAGCGTCTGAGTTATTTTATTAAAGCTGCCTGGTTTCATCCCCTAATAATAGGGGAGAATTGCTCTCACTGGGCACTACCTCATTGTTATATAGTCAGCCCAACGTCAGATGGGCAAACACCCACCACTTGGTTCGGTTCTAAAGTTATCAGGTGATTATGAACATGTTATGATCTATATGACAGTGATAAATGCAAAACAACCTAACAAAATAAGGATATTCATCACACACCACAGTTACTACCAAGTGCAGGGCCAACTTCTGGTATCAGGAGCAGCTTGGTGTGATTTGCAGTTCCAATTCTGAATCTTGTTAATTCTTTTGCGCCCTTTTGTTATTATTATTTCTTTTTCTGGTAGGTAGTCGCGCACTTTTTGAAATCTATTTTAAGTTATGCTCCCACTTTTCTCTGCATTTTGTTTGTATGTTGACTTTTTGTGTTGTTTTATGCCAGAGAACCAAAATAAAATGATGATGATGCTTGCTTACATTTTTCTGCTGACTGACAAAGCGCTGTCTTTTTCATCAGCGGCACTTGAGGTAGTTTCAACTAAAGAGTCTGGGGGCAGATCTGGTTGGATCCCTGTCACATGTCTCTGTATCAAATGAAGTATCTAGTGACAGATCCTGTTAAATTATGATCCAAAGTCAAATTATGGTATAAGTAATCCTTACCCAACAATTCGATGGTGCTTTTCTGTTGAGCGACAAGAATCTGATATAGGGTCAAGGTATTCATCAGTTGGTCCATCGCCTCCATGAAAATGCATGATGGAACGCATTGCTTGTATGAAAATTTATTTCGTATAAGAACTAACATATTGAATATATCATAGGTATCGAAAACAATATTTATGTTGGCCTACCTTGGTACACACGAAGGTATATCTGGTGATATTTCCTAGATTGAATATACTGTGAGGCCTGTTGCATTTCTTTATCCACCTCATTGCTTTTTGGCAGTCAATATGTGGCTTCGGACAAGGCACATATATTACTTCATTTGAACGGCAGGGGTACCGTACAGGTTGTCAGACCGGCAAATACCATATGCACAACGTTTACACATAGTTAGTCTACCAAAATAATTCACTAATAGATTCTGTTAATAAAAATGCAACATCGCATCGAAGACAAATTCTCGTACTGACATACGGTAGGCTACCGGTACCCTTGATTGCATCAGCATGACTGTCTACTATTTTTTGGTTCGAAATAGCAGTTGCGACCTGTACAGTACCGTAACTTGTTACCTGAAAGGTGCCTGCAACGGGTACAGCCTTTTAGTATAGTATAGATATATAGATTTTGTGAACGTGATTTGCAAAAAGTAACATACAGTATTAGAGCTTTCTAATTCTCGCAGCCCTGTGAGGAAAAAAAAAGCGAAAAAGGGACAAATATCTGTCTAAACCGCCAGCAACCTGTGCGGAACGCGTCCAAAGTTGTCTGAGCGACTCTTCAGCGGAGAATGTTTGCTTACATCTGCTCGCTTGTGATTGGTTGAAAATACGGATGTTTTAATGTCGGGGAAAGGTCCATGGCTTTGAAATTTTTAGTGGTTAAAGATGAAATTATTCTCCAGAAGGCTATTACTTTTATTTATTTCAAATATTTCTGATAGCTCTATGAGATTTGTTTTTGTTTGCTATGACGTCACTGAAGGTTCTGCGGACGCATATGCAGGCACTCCTTTTTTTGATCACGTGACATCGAACGTTGGCGTGACGGCGGATTCTGAAAGTCGTTACTCAAAAATCGCAAGTTTTTCGAGGTTACCGGTGAATGGCGGTGATGCTAAAGGTACGGTAGACCGTACTGTACTGCTTCGCTTGGTGTGAATATATTTGTAGACTGTGGTCTAGATGTACGGTAAACCGTACTTCACTGCTTCGCTTGGTGTGAATATATTTGTAGAATGTGGTCTAAAAGTACGGTAAACCGTACCGGTACTGTACTGCTTCGCTTGGTGTGAATATATCTATAGACTGTGGTCGAAATGCTTCGCTGTGGTATCTGCTGCTATAATACCGTGATAAATCGAATAAGTTGGTTTTGCAAATAAGGAGCGTCTGGCATTAGAGGTAGGAGGGGGGATAGGGGGGTGCGCATTTCCAATACGTCGATAATCTCTTTGTCAACCAATTTGCGACCACCGTGTTTTTGTCTGTTTTATTGCTGTGATGTGGTACTAACCAATTTGCGACCACCGTGTTTTTGTCTGTTTGATTGCTGTGATGTGGTGCTTTGTTTATAATTTGACGAGTTTTGTTCGAAATAACCATGTTTTTAAAATATATGACGGCCAGAAATGCAATTAGAAGCCCAATGTTTTTAAAGATAGAGAAGTTTTGGTACTGTAACACAGCTCGGTGACACTGATCTAACTCGTAGCTGTCAAAAGCTCGAAAATCCATACAAATATAAGAGATAAAAAGATGAAAACTTGGCAGGTTGGTAGAGTTGCTGGAGCAGTGTTCCTTTTAACCATCTTTGAAGATTTTTTTCGCGTTTTTACATTTAAAGGAGGTGGAATAGGGGAGTGCGCATTTCCAATACGTCGATAATATCTCTGTCAACCAATTTGCGACCACCGTGTTTTGTCTGTTTGATTACTGTGATGTGGTGCTTTGTTTATTTATACTGGTACTGGACTACTGGTAAGTCACCGCATATGATTTTTGGGGAATTGTTCTGAGTGTCCATATATTTGAGCATTGCTCTCTTGTTTCAAATGAAAAGCCATTGTTTCTGTACTAAATAAGACACAAGATCCAAATTTTAATAATCTTGTTTTGAGATTATTTTAATTTCTTTCCTGTTCAGGCAGTGGGGTTATATTGTCTGAGCCAAATTCAACGTTTCTACAAACATGGTCAAATTTATTCAAGAACTACACAAAGGTAAGATATATAAAAGGACCGTGTTTTACTATCAAATATCATTTTATTGTTGTACTGCCCATATAGAGCGTTAACCGCGATGGAACTTATTTGTTTTTCATGTATGATTCTAATGGTTAATAAGAAGAGTTAATATATCATAGTATTTGTCTTATCATAAATATCTTTCGTATATACAAACAATAAAATGTTTCACCATCGTCAGAAACTGTCCGTAGTTTAAATGGCATCGATTTGTTAATGTTGAGTCAGATCTTTTAAAAGCTGGTATGAATCATTTATAAGCAAAAAGTCTATGATGACTTTGTATAAGCTTAGCACGTATTTTTAGGGACCAATATTTCTGGCCCAGTAATGTTTTCAAAAATGTGAACATTTTACTCTGCCATGCAATATGGGGTCAAAATTGTAAACAAGCGAAGAAGCAATCTTCAATTACTTTGTAGGGTGCACGTTGGGTTGTTACGACTTGCTGTGCTTATTACCGTGACTATTATTATATTCGCTCCTTTTCAAAGCCTATATGTAGTAATAACGTGGGTGTGGTACCATCGAAATTGTCAAGTGAAGCGCGGAATTTGCAAATTCCATAAAAACAAATTTTCGGAAAGGATTATGGTTATGACATTGTTTTGTTGTAGAATAACACAAGAAAAAAATAATAATAAAACGAAATATTTAAAATTAATTTATATTTGTCATAATTAGTGCTTAACCCTCTACTAGACACAATAACACTCAAGTTATTCACAACGACACTCAGGGTTGTTTTCGTCGTATTTAAAAAATACTGGAGACGTGATCCTTAGCGCCATCACGCTGAATAGAACTTACGCAGAAGCGTACGCATCTGAAGAGCCATGAGTCACGTTTTAGGAAACAACAAAAGTTCTGAAAATTTCTACATTGATTATACAAATGCGCATCGGGTGGATTTGTAGATTAAAATAAGTAAGATACCGGTGATTTTGATGATTATTTTGGTATGCAATTCTGTAAACTGTTATCGCACATTGTCATTAGCAGGAATTCTGGTAAGACATATAGTTACTTCAGACTTGAATAATTAATTGCTTCTTTACGTCCATTTATGTGAAAAGGAATTAAATATTCAGAAATTGACTATTGGAATGGATATCTTGCATGTCTGTTATACTATGAACAAAAAATATCGTTGTCGTGGATTCTTTTAACATATTTGTAAGCTCTGGGCGCATATGTCCATATTATATTTCATTACGTTTAGCAATCAGCAATCTAAGGACAACTCGGACAAAATACCCAAAATAGCCCAACAAAACTTGAAATATTTTCGCTTTTCAGAACGACTTTTTTACCAAAATTTCCCTCCGTATTCACCTTTTGAAGCCCGAACTACCAATACACGTTGAGGAAATATCAATGCAACGACCGAATCCTTGGTGTGATGGTATTGAATCCATAATTACAGAATCGTTCAACATATCAGAGAACTACATTCTTCATCTACACCCGTCAAAATATGGGAAACAACTGTATACAACACTACGTGAAGACGACATTCGTTTGCATGACACAACCTACGGCGCCGGTGCTAGGGCTGCGCTATTCGGCACACAAGACTTGATCTTTTTTAAATCTGAAGTGGCATTGGCTCACAACAGAACTACTCAAAAGCCTTTAAATCTTTTCAAATCGATGCAAAAGCTTCGTAAGCCTGAAATGTTACCTGGTCTCTGACTGGCATGAAGTGCAGAATTGTAATACGTCGGGTGTTGGATCGAATTTGAGCAAAATATTCTGCTGGAGATGACAGAAAAAACCTTTAGATGTAGTTACTCTTATCGCAATAAAATAGTAATAATTATGAACAATTTTTACATGTAAGCGCTAGCTAATTGAAAGTATATATATCACTGTCACGTTCATTCCGCATTCTGACTATTTCTTCTAAGTATAGTCAACGCAAAAATACAAAGTAAAAATAGTCATCAAAAACGTCATTCATAAGCACTGCTTTGAATCATAAGTGTCAAACTGAATATCAAAATTTTCATATGCCTGTGGAATTCAATTATATAAATCTTTTCTCTAAATATAATTCTGTGTTTAATTACCATTTTTATCGAAATATCATGTTTGATAAAAATGTATAACAACAAAATCTTTTTTGTCTGTCACCCGAAAATTTCACTTGGTAATAAAATCTTAAATCTAGGATTAGATTTCAGAAATTAATTTATATACATATATCCTTTTACGGAATGAGTCAAAAAATATTCAATGACGAAAAGCACGAGTTGTATTACAATAAGTGTATAATGCAATTAATTCATATGAAATTTTAATATTTAATCAACCTATACTTCAAACATTAATCTTGTGTATGTGTGTATGTAATCTTGCTTCGTTTTGAAAATAAAAATTTTCAACTTTTTTTGTGTTTGTTTATCACAGTGTTGGCTAAAACTTCAATTCCGGCCATTATTTCTTCGCTAGTAGGTTTAATCTGATCAGCTGGAAGTTCGAAGTAAAAAGGTCCCCACTGATCTCTGAGTTCCAAAGTATAACTTAACTCAATTCCGGCTTTTTCATACGCCCAGTCGCTCGTGCTCTCTGAGAATACATCTAAATGAAGAAGATATTCTTATTCACCACATTTTGTCTCACCTTAACTACCCCCGGGTCCTATAAAATCTAAAACATCTGAGAAACTTTTACTCACACATTGTTACAGATCCACGACCGTGCTCATATGTTGATCCGTGAACGCTTTCTATCGCCAGTTTCATTTTGAATGCTGTATCGTTCTATAATTCATACAAAAATATAGTTATATAAGAGAATAAAATATTCAAACAAATCAGATTCTTAATAAAGGGAAATAAGAAATTTTTGTAGATTAGTTCTTATTTTGGTGAAATTACATTGGCAATACTGACGTAGTCCTACGTAGAATTGAACACTGATTTAGTTTAAATTTAAGAATAACAAAAAAGAGGTAGACACCATTAAAATCATAAATGTATCTGCATTAATTGATGAACACATCGTATTGATTCTTAATAACAAAAAAGACTTCAACGAAATTATCAATTAGACCTTGAAATTATTACCTTTTTTGAAATAAATGTAACATATTCCAACAGAAACAAAGTATTCCGAATTTACAATGTCAGAACGGTTCATATATCACACCAATCAAATTTTCATGAGCATCCATGATTTTGAAGTTTTGTTCGCAAGAATATTTTGTAACAATATATATATTCTATGATGCACGAAATGGCTATTGATTTTTAAATATACTTGCCATACCAAACGCATTACTTCAATATTCTGCATTTGATATAATATACAAGTTCTTTTTCTGTCGGTGGAATCGAAGTTATATTGTTATTATAAGGATATAGTATCTGTTGATCATAGTTATGGAACGATACAAGGGCCTTGATTTTTGATTTTTCTCTTCGAATAAAATTTGCCAGATGATGATTTATATTGTAGCATTCAAAACTTTGAACTGCAGAAATAGTCAAGCACTCAGTCATCATCATATGGTATTATTTTGACACCTTAGGCATCAGAATTTGTTTCCGATTTTAATGAATATCAAAAGATTGCCATCACACCATAGTAAGTAAATGCAAGACTGTTAGGAAGTATTCCCAATCTTTCAGATTGCATAATTAATCATAACCAAAAATTTATTAGGTCAATGTCGATTATCAATACTAATGATTAAAATACTACCTTATTTCTGGATGCAGATATAAGTCATCCATAAGTTTAATATCGTATGTTGTACTATAGCCTTTATTCTCCATACTTGATTTCTGAACATAAACTTATTTTTGATTAGCCAGGAGTTTGAAGAAGTTGAGGGTCCGGAATTTTGTAAATATTGACTTCTTCGATACATTTTTCGCTTCCACATGACTCAAATTTCAAATAGGGCTCATTGACTTATATTCGTTAATAGATTTTTCAACCATAATGGGAAAATTCAGATAAAAAATATAAATTGATAAAAGCAAAGAATGTTATAAATGGTGACCGTACATTTGAACCCATGTGTATATCCGCGGGATCAATTCAAGCTATATGCGGGTGCTAGACCCCATGGGTTAGGGTTAGTATGGTTTCAAATATCGGTAAAACAAAACAAAAATCTATAGGTGCAATAGTATGCAGGTGCAATTCTCATGGGTTCAAATATACGTGAGTTCAAATGTAATGGGACCGTTATAAATATCGATATGGACCGACTTCTATTTTTAAAGTTAAGCCACCTTGTTGTAGTCATTTTCAACCAAATTCAGATTGGAATAATAACCTGAAGAATGAGTCCACCTATGAACGTACATTTCAACCTATTCATCAGTGGCGGCGCGTCAATAGGGCCAACCGGGGCAATGCCCCGGTTGTTTTTTCGGTATAATAAAAAAGATTCGAAAAATAAAAAACCTCAATATCGGTTGCACACACTATCTACACTAGCCATATTCTCCCGACATGGTTCATTTTTCGCTCGCAAAGCCTTCGCCGAACGTCGACGGGGCAACGCCGATTTTGCCCCGGTTGCTCATTGTATATCGTATTCTCTCTTTTATCTTCCACTCGCCGCGTTTGTCTCGTTTGTTTTCTGTTTCATTTACTAAATCATCGGGGCTAGCCCCGAAATTATGACGACACAGTGCCGACGTTTCTTACAACAACGTCTTGACATATTCACGCATTCCTTCTCGTTCGTTGGTTTCTTGAAGAGTTGATAGTTTCCTCGCCTTCGTTTTTGTCGCTTGTTTCGCTATTTGAATCTGTTAGAGACCTTTAGTCCTTTTGAGCTCCTCACTTCTTTCCGGCTTCGCATTTCTTAGCCTTAGACCTCATAATGAATAAGGTTGATGCACTACTTCGCACTTCGTTTTCGCAGCTGCCGCTGGAACAAAAATTAGAGGTACAACGTCTTGGGCCTTATCAACCAAAAAATTGTTCACTGGAACAATCCCATGACGGAGGAAAGCGTCGGCGTACATTCTGCGCAGAAACTTGGTACAAAAAACACGAATGGTTGTGTTACAGCGAGGACAAAAATGCACTTTTTCGTTTTTATTGCCTACTTTTTGCTACCGCCCATGACTAACGTTGGTGTAAATTTGGTTTTAGAGATCTTAAACATCTTTCCGAGCGTGCCAGGGATCATCAATCTTCTATGGAGCATCTGGACAATGCAGTAAAATACCGAACATTCGGAAATGTTAATATTGCAGCACAGTTGGATGAAGGACGCGCGGTTTCTATTCGTCGGCACAACCAAAACGTCGAGAAAAACCGCCATGTTCTCGGTCGATTGATAGATGTTTTGAAGTTCATTGGTTGTCACGAGCTGTCTCTCCGTGGGCACGATGAACGGGCTGGCTCTTCTAATAGAGGGGTATTTTTGGATATGGTGGAATACACCGCATCCCTAGATACAGTATTGAGAGATCATCGAAGGATATCCAAAATGATTTGCTCGACTCAATGTATAAAATTTATTTACAACATTTGGCTCTGGAAATTGCGAATTGCCAGTTCCTTTCGATTCGGTCTGACGAGACAACTGACATCACGTGCGTTTACCAACTGGCTGTGATTTTTCGGTTTGTGAAAGATGGTAAACCTACCGAGAGATTTCACAGCTTTGTACCAATCGTTGATCGCACGGCTTGCGGGATATCGGCTGTACTGAAAGAAGTGTTACAGCCTTACAACGCGAAGTCAAAATTGATAGCTCAAACTTATGACGGCGCGGCAGTCATGAGTGGGTCGAAACATGGTGTTCAAGTTTATATAAAAGAAGATTTTCCTCATGCGCATTTTTACATTGTTATGCACACCAATTTAACCTCGTTATTAAAAATATGTGTCTTGATACCCCTCTCGTCCGTATATTTTTTGCAAATGTTTCGGGGTTTTCTTCATTTTTTTCCGTTTCGCCGAAGCGCTCTGACCTCCTTCGCCAGATATGTAGCCGCCGTCTCCCAGCTTGTGCACCAACACGTTGGAACTTCCAATCACGCGTGGTGCAGGGCGTGTCCGAAATTAGGTCTGAGCTCATTGAGTGTTTCAATGGCATTCAGAGCTCTCCGGTTTGGGACGAACGCTCTGTGAGGGAGGCGGCAGGTCTAAAGCGTCTGCTAGAAGATGGTGAGTTTTCATTTTTTCTCCACAATATTCTATCACGTGGATGTATTATACGGCGCATTGCAGTCAAGGCTAATGGATGGAGCGTCTGTGCAGTCGTGTATTTCAGACTTCTGCGATGCTGTATCTCGTATCCGGGAAACAATAAAATACGACGACACATGGAGTGCTTCTTTACGCCGTGGGCAAACAACGCAGCGTTTGATTTTGTCCGCAAAGGAATGCTGTGACATTCTGGTGAATCAAATAGGCGATCGTCTGCGCACTGAACACCTTGCCGCGTTCTCTTTGATGAACCCCAAAATTTTTTCAAAATTTGCACGTCAATTTCCCATCCATTTGTTGGCTACTGTCTCCAAATTTTACCCCATGATAAACGTGGGTAAATTGGAAAATGAATTGCGATGTATATACACCAATCAAACTTTTTTGAACATCACATCAACTTGCGCGCTCTATGGGTTCCTCATAGATAACACTCTAGTAACTACCTTTGCGGCGTCTGCAAAATTTCTGGACATCATTTTGACGACGCCTATTTCTTCCGCCGACGCAGAGCGAACATTCAGCACGCTGAAGCGTATTAAAACGTATCTCAGAAACACAATGAAGCAAGATAGATTAAATTCCTTGGCTGTTTTATCCATTCACAGAGACGTTATTTCTGGGATGCATGACTTTAATCAGCGCGTTATTGAGCATTTTGCTTCTAAGAAACCGCGGCGTGTTGCATATATGTTCAAGCAGTAGAAGTCTAGCAGCATATATATCATATATCTATGAGTGAGCGACGCATGTCCTTATCTTTGCATTAACTTTCCTTTCTTCATAGTAACGTTTTAAACCTTATTTTAGGTCTTGTCTGCTTTCCCGAAGTTTCTGTTAATATGTCATTGTATTTATCTGGGTAAATATTGCCTTTCCTTTTGAAAGAGGTTTCAAAATAAACTATGTCTATATTTATTAATCCCTTGACTTGGACCGGTTTTAAAAACACTTTCTTATCGTTAAAAATTGTCGCTTTTGCCGATTGGTTGTTACCGATGGAATGGTTTTTATACTCATAAAATGATGAGAGAACTTACAGCGCTCATCCTGTCCCCGTAGATGGGGGTGTCTTGGTCCCGCAGTAGCTTGCCCCGGTTGTCAAAATGACCACGCGCCGCCACTGCTATTCATTCATTAAGTTCAAACTTCCCTATCCTATTTCAATGTCTATAAATGTAAACACAGTATAATTACGTACATACC